CTGCTGGTCTACCACTGCCTCGATGATTTAGTTTGTTTATGTTATTGTGTGACTGTTGTTTTAAAGGGTTGGTTTGGATTCACCAAAGTCACACAACAACACAAAGAAACTAACGGATCGAGGCAGCGGTAGACCAGCAGCTCCTGTGTTCAGCGAGGTAAAATCACTGTTTTTGTCAGTGGAGTCTGGCCAGTGTTGGGCAAGTTACTCTCAAAACGTGATGTATTACATATTACTGGTTACCTTTATTTAAAAGCAACATGTTACATTACAATATAACTCTCTGTGTAGAGTAATAAATTACTTATTACATTACGTTTGCGTTACTTTTACCAAAGTGGCCTTTTAAATGAATGAGGGTCATGTTGTTTCACAGCAGGTAATCAAAGCACAGAGGCTCCAGTTTATTACAGTTCATTTCAAATCCAATGCTGCACAGGTCTGACCCATTCTTTACCTATAATAATACTTTAATTAAAATCCCCTGCTTATATCAGTAATAGTGTGATAATATAGAACAATTAAATAGTATAGACTGTTTAAAATAAATGGACATGGGCCGTGGACACAGGGAGGGGCAGGCACAGGATCACAGTCTAATAATTCTGAGATATGGATAAATATTTTGGGGCCTATGATATGTAACGTAATAAACAAATAGGGTTAGCACAACAAACAGAATGGCATGCAAGTAAATCACTATGACAAGCACAAATTAAAGGCGCTGTATGTAAGAATGTGGCCAAAACAGTTACTGCACTCAAATTCAAAATACCGCCGCAAGTCGTGTCTGCCCCCCCTCCCCTACAGATTCGAGGTTGCTGGACAGCAGCACGCTGGAAACTGATTTGTTTGCCCACAGGCGGCTGCCGTGGCAGGGCCGTGTCGCCGTGTCCGTGATCTTCGGTTTTCCAGCAGACCATTCAAGCAAGTCCGGCTTCTCTGCTGCTAACACTGCTGCCGGGATACAGCAGAGGAGGAGCCGGCTGCTAATGCTATGTACCGGGACACTGCTAATGCTGCTTGCCATGCTGCTGTAGCTCAGTCGTAACTGTAACTGATGCTGAGGCTCTACTGACTGCGTGACTGGTAGATGGCGGTGGGTGGCGCAACAGGCCAAAACACAAATTCAAAACATAAACATGATTTGCGGATCATAAAATATTTTTTTAAATGCGAATATTCTGGCTGTACTATTGTTGTCAGTGAGATCAGTATGTTATATGAACATTATTCCTTAGTCTCTGTGACATATTAGGATGATTTTATGACTATTTGCTTTAGATTTCTTACATATAGCTCCTTTAATACACCAGAGCTGGAAGACCCGCTTGTGGGTTCCCGATGTGCTGGTCAGCTACAGCAGCACCGTCGACGAGGCATACGAGAAAATCAAAGCTTACTCCACATATTCATTGTAACATAGGGTTAGTCATAGATATACAAATGGTCAATTGCGAGGTGAAGTACTCCTTTAAATCAATATTGCCCACTATAATTCACATCATTACTCATTAAATTGTTCACTGACCCCTTGTGACCTGTATGGAGGTACATTCATGTGTTCCTCCACCGCCACCAATGTCAACTGAGTGTGTTGTATGAACCATTTTTGAGTTTACTCAACTAATAATTGAAAGGATTTCCTCAGCCAAGTCTTATTTTATCATATTCTGTTTGTTTCTCTAACATGTTATTCCCCAGTTGAGGTTAAAATGCTGAAAACTGACAGCCAGAATAACTATAACTTCAAAAAAATTATAACTCTGCTGATTAATACAGACCCTGCAAAACCACAGGTGAGCGGTAAACAGCGACGGCTTTGTTTGACAGGGTGCAATCAATTTCTGTTTCACTGGCAGTAAATGGCACTGTAAGGCTGTTTGAGCAATGTTTTTCTAACAATCATATTTGAGCTCTGTATAGAAGATGTAAGCTGCATCATGTTGTGGTGTTGAACAGGGGAGGTTCTCCCTTGACCCCTCTGCTTGGAATCTACTACTCATCCAATTGACAGTTTATCCCACAGAGGGATGACTCATGCTGCTAAACACACACAAACACTTGGGTGAGAGGGAGACCTTATGTAACATTTTGAAGCCAGTATTGCACAGTATTGATCTCTGTTACAGAAGCAGCTTAGGGTCCTTGAAAAACTGATCCATTCATATTATTCCTGCTCGTATGTTTGATTCTTACCCAATTAGATTTTTCTTGCATCTATCAATCTATCAATCAATCAAACTTTATTTATGCAGCACTTTTCATAAAAGCAGAATTCAACACAAAGCGCTAAACACCTTATTCCTAGCCCCCATGATACCTTGCGTGAATTATGGGTGCAACCTCCAGCGTTGAACCTAAACCAGCGATTTCCAGTGGTAACAGTTTCTTTACAGTACTATATTCTTCTTTCCAAGAGCAATAGGAGAAAAAAACGTGGAACACATCACCTGTTAAAGCTCAAACGGTATTATGTGACCATACCTCTGCCATCTCTGACAGCCATCTCAAAGCATTGTTTTTACTCCTTTTCAACCAAGCATGCTTGCAATTAACTTACCTTGCTCCGTTAAAATACTGTTAACTTTAACATGGCCCGAGCTAGCTTAAGGTAAACATTCACTCCTTCTAAAGATGATTTATGATTTATGATGACTTATGAAGAGATACTAACACATTCAGCAAACATTTAGCATAATTCAGTATTAACTGTAGCTCCAAGTAAAGTGAATAAATGTGATGTTTCCCAGCTGATCCAAAGCTAAGATTCAAATTAAAGACAACTCCAAGGTTTTTCACTTGTTGACAGGGTTTTAGGGCCTATTCTTGCAATTTCTCTCTGAGCTTCCGGGCCAATAACAAAGACCTTGATTTTGTCCTAGTTGAGTTGAAGAAAGTTTTCTGCCATCCAGGACTTAATATCTAAAATACAATTAAAGAGGGCATCAATTGGCCCCGAGGCATTAGGAGAAACAGCAATATACAGCTGTGTATCATCAACATAACTATTGAAACTGATGCTGTGCCTCCTGATGACTGATTTACAAGTGGCAGTATGTAAAGACTAAAAAGTGTTGGACCAAAAATTGACCCTTGGGGGACCCCACAATCCAGTATATAGCTTTTTGATGAACGTTCATCCATTGTTACATAAAATGTTCTGTCAGAAAGCTAAAATTTAAACCAGCTAAAAACAGTACGAGAGAGGCCAACCAGATTATGAAGTCTAGCTAAAAGAATTGAGTGGTCGACTGTATCAAAGGCTGCTGTAAGATCAAGTTGTACGAATACAGAGAGGTTTTTTTTTCATATCCATATTTGATCTCAGGTCAATAACAACCCTGACCAGTGCTGTCTCTGTGCCGTGATTGGTTTGAAAGTCATCTTTCGGCTTCTTTTTGGAGTGTTAGCCAATCTGCTGCTGATATAACAGTTTCTCTATAAGCTTCAGGACCAATAACTTAGGCATTGGTTTTGTCCTAGTTGAGTTGAAGAAAGTTGAGGAATGTTTTCTGACATCTAGGACTTGATATCTAAGATACTGTAAAAAAGGGCATCAGTTGGCCCCGAGGCATTAGGAGACACAGCGATGTACAGCTGTGTGTCATCAGCATAACTATGGAACTGATGCTTCGCCTCCTGATGATATTTCCAAGTGGCAGCATGTAAAAACTAAAAAGTGCTGGACCTAAAATTGAACCTTGGGGGACCCCACAATCCAGTTTATAGCTTTCTGATAAACATTCATCCCTTGTTACATGAAAATGTGAAGTGGCTTAGTGGTCGACTGTATCAAAGGCTGCGGTAAGATCGAGTAGTACGAATACAGAGAGTTTTTTCTTATCCTGACCAGTGCCTTCTCTGTGCTGTGATTGGCTCGAAAGCCATCTTTTTGAAGTGTTAGTGAATCTGCTGTTGATATAACAGGAAGGAACAGCTCTCCACTGCTTTCAGGGGTTATCTTCTTGGCCTTTTGTTCTAAAACACAAGCCAGGTGGTGCAGGAAGGTTGTGATGTGTGAAACCACCATACAATGTCCCATCTTCCTGGTATGAATGCAGCATCCCCCAAAAGCCATTTGTGTACATAGAATGGCGAATAATAGCGAGATTTACTCCCCAGCTGACATGGTGCCATGCAATTCCACCTCACAGCAGAAGCCATACAGTAGATCCAGTGGCTGCTATTTTCACAGGGAATCCAGGCATGAAATGTGTTATGGAGCGTCATAATGAGTTGAGAGAAGTGGACATTCTGGCTGCAGATAAACATAACAGTGGCGAATATGTGATGGTGTGAATCACTTGGGTTAGTGAACACAACGTGCCGCAGCCAGCCTCCTGTGTTCTTTTTCTCTGCACATAGTTACATATTTATCAAATCCAACATAAATAGCAAACATCTTCCTTTCTGAGAATAGTAACCTGAGTACACAGATGCCCACTGGTTCCATTTAATTATTTACTTGTGTCTTTTTTCAGATCATGTAAGAGTTGTTTTATATATTTTACTCATGAAAATCACAGAGCTGTAATAGACATGTTTTCCCCGTGGAAAGCCTGATAAATTTCTGTACATTTGTCCTATCAAAATAAAGCATTTAGTGCGCCAAAGCATAAAGAGAGACTCACTGTTGAGATGTACAATAGCAGCGTCTTTCTTCTCTAAACACAGCGGAGCATGATGAATCCTCAAGGGCTTAACAGAGCTGTCATGTTTCCTTAACGGCTTCATCACCGTTTTCCTCCCATAGCTACGAGGTATAAATGGGTAGCAGGATTGTCATGTTTGCTAAGCTGTATGTCTCAGTAACTGCACACATGACGAGACACACTGAGAAATAAGCTTTTTGAATATACATGAGAAATGCATGGTGTCCCCACAGCTGCACATGACGCTGCAAAGTAGGACAAACTCTGTCAGAATTAACAAAAGAGTTGCTGAATCCTGATTTCAACAACTTATGCTTATCTGTCATGTCTCTCTCCATCCTCCAGTACAAACAAGTGGAGCAGTACATGTCGTTCCACAAACTACCAGCCGACTTCCGACAGAAAATCCATGACTACTACGAGCACAGATACCAGGGCAAGATGTTTGATGAGGAGAGCATCCTGGAGGAGCTTAATGAGCCGCTGCGCGAGGTATGAAAACACCCAAGCATCCACTATAATGTGCTCATTCACCCACAAACACACACTTCTCAGCTCTCTACTGATGAAGTGGACTGGAATGAATTCATTATAATGCTCAGCTATGTTCTCCAGTAGAAAAACCCAGTGTTTAAAAATGTCACTTCCAGCTTTCTCTGTATTGATTTACTCATTAACTGTTCTTAATTTACTCACTCACCAGGTAGTCAGTGGAGTTACTTCAAGTGCCTCCAGATCTCACTGAAAAATAACTAGGTTTAAAAGAAAAGGAACAGATGGGTTAAAAGTAATTTTCACATGGACTTTATGTTCCCACGCACCCAAGAGTTGTTTTTCCTGCTGCCAGCAAACACTGTTTACTGCAGTTTACAGTAAAAAAGGTCCTCTTGCTTCAAGGACAGCCCAGAGAACGCTTAAGGTAACAGAAAATAAGGAAAATAGGGAGAATACTCGAATGAGCTCTGCCAGGGTCCCTCAGGGTAATTAAAAGAAAACAAAAACATGTACATGTGTGTTTGCTCAGGAAACTGTGTTACTATTATCTGATTATATAAACCTTTTAAAAAATTAAACTCTGATTATTTCCCTTTTTTCAAAATACAAAAATGAAAGTTATGAAACGCGCTTACCCTGAATCAATCATAAACTCAGTAGTTATGCAAGTTGTTTTTCCTGATATACTGAAGCAGACCAGCCCCAAAACAAAGCTAAATCTTATCACCTACTTTCCACAACTCACTGTTTCTTCTGATGTCGGAATTAATCTTTTTAGCAGTGCAGAAGAAAGCCTTAATACAGATGGAGGCGTTTATAAAGTGTAACATACACGCCCAACAATCCAGTACACTGTTGTGATCTGCTGCTATTTCCTGTTCAAATGTAGGAAATCGTCAACTTCAACTGCCGTAAGCTGGTGGCCTCTATGCCGCTGTTTGCCAACGCTGATCCCAACTTTGTGACGGCCATGCTGACCAAACTGAGATTTGAAGTCTTCCAGCCTCTAGACTACATCATCAGAGAGGGCACCATCGGCAAGAAGATGTACTTCATCCAGCATGGGGTGGTCAGCGTCCTGACCAAAGGAAGCATTGGCATGAAGCTGATGGACGGCTCCTACTTTGGAGGTATGTCGATGTCTTTGTCACCTTTGGATCATCAGTTACTGCACTATTCTGCTCCCTTATTCCTCTCTGTTTTGTTGTATTTTATTATTTATGGGTTTGTTTTGTTCTGCTCTATTATACTTTGCTTGATTCTATTTAGTCATGTTCTGCTCTGCTCTGTTTTATCACATTGTTCTGTTGTATTTTTTACATGACAGATTGGAATAGATCATATAAGGGATGCACAATATTGGATTCTTTTGCCGATATCCGATATGCAACAACTCATTTAACTGATACCAATATGGATATATCCACTTTTTCCCCACCTAATTTTAGTGATCACCAAGTCTCTTCTGTAGTGGCATTAACATCATATTATACATGCATACTCTCATTGTGATGGCCCACCAGCAGATGCAGACATGAAATACAATGCTATTGTATGTATGTAATATTCATTCATTTTGCAAACTAAGAAAAAGCATGTTAAAGAATTTTTTTAAAGCCAGTATTGGACGATACCGATGACGTCCAGATATTATCACGCATCCCTAGATGATATGATAGAATAGACTCCATTATGTTTTCTCCTATTACTCTATTCTAGTGTGTTGTTATATTACTCCTCTGTGACTTAAACTGGGATCAGACCACAGCAGTTTTGGGCCAATATGCATCCGATTCACCTCTCCATACGATCAGAGGAAAAATCCATTTTGAGACTTTGGTCGGTACTGATGTTCAGTCTAGGTGGCGGCTGGTGGCGGCGGTGGACTCCGGGGTTTTTTCGGACCTAATTGTATAGCGGTACATTATTCTATGCTTTCTTTGGATTTTCACATTGGCTAGTCATCCTGTTTAATTTGTCTTCTGTTTAAATCGGAACCGTTGAAACAAGTTGTAGGAAGCCTCTGCAAGTAATTGGTTGCTGGCAGACACTCTGTGCTGCAATAAAATGGTTAATCAGCAGTGCCGTGCACTGTAGAGCCGATGCGCTGCTGGTTCTGCCGGCCTGAATAGAATATAATGTCTATAGCCTTACTGTTGTGTACAGCATTTATAGACTGAGCTGAGTAGTGATGCGCGGGTCGACCCATAACCCGCGGGACCCGCAAATGGACCTGCGGGACCCGCAAATGGACCTGCGGGTCGGGCAGCAGTGATCGTCTGTTAAATCGGTCTGTAAATGATATTTTGACATTATTGGCTATTACTGTCATGGCATCCGAAGGTACTGATGCGTTGAGCAGGTGACAGTCCGCGG